TCCATGCCACAGCTCTCAAATCTGATTGCTGTTTTCACACATTCAGAGGCAACAGGTTTGACAGCATACATGAGCCGATAATTTTCTTGGGTAATTTTTTGACATCAAATCTGAAACAATACACCTTGAGGCACCAAGCGGGAATATGCATACGTTTTAATGAGATTTTAGAGCTTGGAGGAAGGAACAATTATCATTGTATTACGGCTTACATTCTTCATTTTGGTAAAAGTCATAAAGATTTATAATGCCATTAGTGTGAGTAAATGATGGCAGAATTGCCATTTATAGGCCTTTACATTTTTCAAAAGAACACATATGGAAGTTTTTCCTCTGACAAAGAGTTCTGGTTTTCCACAGTTGTAAAGTTTTGATCTATGTTACTATTTGCACAAGACTAAAAAAAAGTAATCACCTGTTTGCATTCATGTGTGAAGCTAAATCATGCAGAGCAGGAGAAGCAGCGCTGGCGTGCTGAAAAGGCCCAGATGGAGCATAACATGCAGGAGAACCGGGAGCGCATGGAGAAGCTGGAGGGATATTGGATGGAGGCGCAGAGTCTTTGCCAGGCTGTGGATGAGCACCTGAAAGAAACGCAGGCTCAGTACCAGGCTTTAGAACGCAAATACAGCAAGGCCAAACGCCTTATAAAAGAGTATCAGCAAAAGTGAGAGAAAACACAGATACTGATCCACATCCACATTCTTACCGAAGGTCCTGTTTAGCTTTAACCCTTACTTTAAAGATGAATATATGTCCATATATTCACTTTTATTATTTGTTAATTGTAATGTTGTGTTAATTTTGTGTCCAAGGCTAATAAATATACTCAAAAAGACAATAAATACAATTAGAATGACATAACAACATTCTGAAAGACATACATACTAAATACTAAACAGGCACACACACACACACACACACACACACACACACACACACACACACACACAAACACACTGTGAAAGTGTTAAATAATTCAATGTTGTATTTAAAATTAGTTATTTATATTTTAATATTATATTATGCATTTATATTATTTTATAAACACATCTAAATTAACATATATAAATTTGTTTATATTTTTTGCTGAGATTTGATGCAGTGACACAATTTTGCATCGTGATTACGCAATGACGTCACCGCGCAATGACATCGCAACGTCATTTAGCAACTTTTAGCAACAAATCAGTCTTCCTTTAGCAACTTCCCCTGAAAACTAGTTGGCAACACTGAATGCCTGCTTTCCTCTTTTACATCGCCTACATACACACACACACACACACACACACACACACACACACACACACACACACACACACACACACAAATATTTCAAATTTATATAAACAGATTGATGTAACTCATTGTGTTTGGGTCAATTAATTTATTCAAAATGAAATAAAAAAGTAATTCATGCAGACAATGAGTAAGATAAAATTCTTCTATGATGACAAAAAGTTAATGGAAGGAACATTTTTTAATAATCCTTTTCTTAAAAAAAAAAAGAATTTTTGAAAAAAACAAACAAAAAAACAATATTACTATCACTTACAATATCACTTGACAATCTCATAATTAAATCTAAATTACAACCTTACTAAAAAAATCCTATAAACTCAACAAACATGAATACAAATATCACATTTCTAAGGACTAGGCACATGTATTTTAAACTAGATTTTTTCCCAAAGATGTTTTTCTTTTAGTCACTGGGCCAAGATCACTGTACACAGCCAAGAGATTAATTAATATTTTATGAAGTATTCGATATAATTTCAGAAATATATGAATGTCTTTTGCCTTCTGTTTTTCATACAGGGAGATTGAGTTACTGAAGAAGAAAACAGCTCAGCAGAAAACTGTAGAGGAGACTGAAGCTTCACATAAAGAGGAAACAGAACAACTTCAAGACGAGGTAGAGTATTCCTGTAACATATCAATTTTAAAACCTATTGTACAGTTTATAAATATGGCAATAAAATATCTCCTTATACAGGTAATAGGTCTTGAGCCACAGGTCGAGGAGTTGAAGTCACTGGATCCATCGTAAAAGTAAACAATTGTTAAAATTTTAACTACTTCAAATGTAAATGTATTGGAACTGTCGAAACAGAGAATCTGTACTTTTCTCATTCCTCCATACCTTGATTTCAGGCTTTTTACGCTTTTAGAGATTTTTCTTATTTTTCTTAATCTCATTCCTAGTATTGTGAATAATTGTTTTACCCTGCAGTGTTTGCTCTTTAAAAAACTTTGTATTTTCCTCATATTTAACTCTAGGTAATGATTCGGCTGTCATTGATAGTTTTGCCAAAGTTGTTTCTGTAGTATTCTAATGTACACAACAAAATCTTTTTAAGTTACGTTAACAACATACATTTGGCAGAACAGAAGACTGATCTTTCATGATCAAAATACTACAGTGGAACATATTTCTGGGTTTCAGTCCTGAAACGAATGAAACAGAGACACTTATTCTACCAGAAGTGTTAAAAACAACATCTTGTATTTGAAGACATATGTTTTTGAAACTCTAATGAACTGCCACTTGCTGCTGTACCTTAAAAGGCTTGTTACTCTTTTATTTCACGTTTGTCCTGATGTCCTTCCTAGGACATTCCTTAGGAGGCACTGTTCTATATGTGATAAAACAATAAGTATGATTTATCTAGATTCTTTAAAAGTACATATTAATTTAAAATGGGAAGCACATCATTCATGGTGGAATGGAGAGAACCTGAGGAAAGTGGGAAAGTTAATATAAATTATATAAATGGTCTTTTAAAGAACCAATTAAGGATGAAGTATCTCAGCTCATATTTTGTTGCCATAAAAAACACCAAACAATATACTTAGCTTAGCCTTACTATATAGCCAGATTTTTAAGGGGTTTACAGAAACAACTCTCTCCGACCTATAGCAGTCCACACTTTACCTCTTGTGCAAGGTTTTGGTGACTTGAACCTTAAAAACCAACTGCTGCCTTTTTCTCAGTATTACTCCTGTTCATAGTCACTCTTCAGTGTTCATTTAGACCTTCCCTTAAACTTTCTTTACAGAGGCAAAAAGATGGTAATGATTATGTATGATTATGGGACTGGCCTTCACGTGTGTATAGTATTGTGTTTTTTTTTAACGAGTGTGGTTTACATTTAAATGCAGTTTGATCTGTACGGGCCACAATAGTTTAATGAAATCTGGATACATTTATAAAAGAGGACAAAATCCTGATTTTACTCCCTGGAATGAATCTGCGTCATGAATTGTTCAGTATGATTTAACTTAATACAGCACACATTTCTTAGACTAGCTGTTGAAGGAGAATGTCTTAGATACAACGGCAGTGAAATTCACATCTTATAGGAAGCAAGACTATTTGTTAACATAATCATGTGAAATGTATGAAGGAACCAAGAACTATAAATGATTGTGATTGTAGTATTTAGTATGTCATCATTAGACTTTACACAGGACTACATTAAATCGATGAGGCATGTAAACAACTTTATTTCAGTGCAAGGCTTGTATGGAAAACACACTCATGTGGTTTGTTAATGTGCTTTTATGAAATAAACAGTCAGCTGTGGATTTGTAACCGAAGTGGCGTTGTTTTCTTCAAGTGGTACAACATGCTCTTTGCTATGCTCAAAATAACTTATATGAACATATATTGGTAGTCCAAAACTTTTTATTTAAATGTGTCAAGAGAGCAACTACAATGGCCATATAAACTCAGATGTAGTGCCGTGCGAAAGTATTCACACCCCTTCATTTTTTTCACATTTTATGTATTTGCCTTATGTTAAACTGCTTTAAATTACTTTTTTTTTCTCCACATCAATCTACACACCATACACCATATTGACAAAGCAAAAACAGAATTGTAACAACTTCTTAAATGTGTTAAAAATAAAAAAACTGAAATAAGTATTCACACCCTTAACTAAATATTTAGCTAAAACACCTTTACAGTCTCAAGTCTTTGTTGTTTGATGCGACAAGCTTTGCTCATCATCATTTGGCAATTATCTGCCATTCTTCTCCTCACCTGTTCTCCTCTCAAGCTCGGTCATGTTGGATGGGGGCAGATGCACATTTTCAGGTTTCTCCAGAAATATTTGATTGGGTTCAAGCCCAGGATGGATCTGGGCCACTCAAGGACATTCACAGAGTTGTCTATAAGCCACTCTTGCTGTGTGCTCTGGACTAGGTTTTCATGTTCTTGGTCACCAGTCTAGAAAAGGCCCTTCTCCATCAATCGCTCAGTTTGGCCAGGAGGCCAGCTCTGGGAAGAGTCCTGGTGGTTTCAAACGTCTTCCATTAGGGGTAACAGAGACTACATGCTTCTATGAACCTTCAATGCAGCAGAATTTTTTCTGAACTCTTCCCCAGATGTGTGGCTTGACGCAAACCTGTTTCTGAGCTGTTTTGACCTCAGGGCTTGATTTTTGCTCTGATATGCATTCTCAGCTGTTAGACCTTTTAT